AACTATACAACACAATAACAATGAAATAGAAAAACTAAAAACTTGGATTATATTTCCTAATAGATTGCTGTCTTTGGTTTCTTAAATGTAGATTTAGAAAGAGAAAATGCTTCTTAATTTAATAAGAATCTTTCCTTCAGTAACATATGATTATTAGTCCAAAAGAATTCAGTTTTAGATACATCACAAAACAGGCTCTGCTATCAAGCAAAGATTACAGTTATGTGCATTAAAAGTCCAGATGAGGCTGGGGATATGGCTCAAGAGGTAGCCCTCTTGCCTGGCATGCTCGAGGTGCTGGGTTCGATCCTCAACACCACATAAAAATAAAATTAAAATATTTTTAAAAAAATAAAAAATAAATAAAAGTCCAGGTGAGCCACAGAGTTCACTAGGGGGAAAAAAATCATCATTGTCACATGTAAAAGTATAAAGGGAAAGGGCCTACAAATTAGTCCAGGAGACACAAGATACCAACTAACTGCAGGATCCTATCATGTAGCCCAGTCAGGAGAAAAAATTTTTGAAAGAATAGCAAAAGAGATTTTGCCAATTCATTCCCCAAATTTAAACAGCAACATTAGCCAAGTTATCCTTATTAATACCAAGCTGTTGTAATGATACACAACTGTTGACTTCCTAGCCTTTAAAGCTTATAAACTTAATATATTATGAAATATGTAATATATATTATATGTAATGTATATTGTATATTTTATATAATGTTGTATATATTATATATATTGTGTATATTTTGTATTATATAATAAACATAATATATTTGATACATAGTTTATCCATATAAGTTTGTAAGCCTTTAAAAGCTAAGAAGTCAATATATATGTCTAATATTCACTATATATGTATATAATAAACAATAAATTGAGGATTAGTAACTCATCTGTACCTGCAATCAAACAATGGATGAGAAGCTTTAAAAATTGTACAAATGAAGCTTTTATTCCCTTGAGCACAGAAGAGATTTTATAAATACCAAACAATTGTATTAGATATTATAATAATCAAATTTGGATTAAATAGCCCTAAGGAGAATCAAACTTTTAAAAATTCAGTTCAGCTGAGAAAAGAGACAACTTTGGAGAAGAGAAAATGGCTTTAGGAGAGACAAGCATAATGGAGCTTCTCCAATTAGAGGTCAGAGAGACTGGCTGGAAAGGAAATTCTGCCTACGAGAAAACAGAAGCCAGAGAGCTGCTGCAAAGCTCACAAACAGAGCACTCTCTTGTTTCCTGAGGTATCTGAGTGACATGTCAATTGAAACACAGAAGCAGTCAGTACCTCACTTGAGGTGAAGGATGTCATCCTATACTTTTCCCTAGGTAGCTCGATGGCATCTTTTCCTAGGCATGATGAATGAATAGCAGGCACATCCTCTCTGCAGTGCAGCTTTGATATCTTAGAAAGAAGTAGGTTCTCAAGTAGTGAAAACTAAAGAACAAAATATGCATATCTATCCCTAAAGATAAGCAAAAGGGAAGCTGAATTTTGAAATAGGTTGTTTTTCAAAACAGCAAATTAAAATATCCAAAAATAAGGTTGAGGTCATATACTACACAGCAATAAATTGTTATGCAGAAATTATTGAATCTGTATGAAATTCACTCTAATTTCTTCCTACAAGATTCAAAAATACTCAAGCAGTGAAGGGATCTCTCAAAAATATAAGTCATTTTGAGATCAGATGCTTAAAAATACTTCTAAACAATAAAAGTAAATATAAAGAATATTTCATTTTTAAATATATCAAGAAATAATAAAATATTTCATTTATTTTCCAAAAACTACAAAGATTTTTCCAAATCATTTTGGTTAAGGCATGGAAAATTCTGGAAATAAAACTGATCATTTTGTCTTTGAATTTTACAATGAGTATAATCATAACATGATTTTTAAATTTAGAATAATAGTTCTACTAAACCTTGAAAATAATATCTTCATCATATACACACATCAGGTTTCTGTGACCCTAAAATATCTTAATTATCTGTTCTATTATCAAGAAGTAATATCAACCTGGAAACATTTTTGAAATAAATAGGTAATTTTATCAATTTTCATACTATTAAACATTTTTTTCCTTATTTCAAATATCCTTTAGTATACTATTTTGATAGTAATTTAAGAATTGATATTCTTTATACAATTTTTATATTATATTAATTAGTGAGTATATTAAATATATTAGGAAAATCAAATGTAAATATGTAAACATCTTCATATGTATATATGATGAAAGCATAGAGCAATTATTCAAGATATTTATTCTATAAATTACACTGTGCTGAGAGAGAATTATGATTGTGGCGCCCTCTGCTGGGGTTTCTAGTCACAAACTCAATACCACTGTTAGCATAATAAAATCAAACTTTTGAGACATCAAGGGAAAAATCGCTTTTTCAATCCATGATTACTTTATGCCCAGGACTTTTTTCTTTTATTTTCTTTCTTTTTTATTTTATTTTATTTTATTTATTTATTTTGGTACTGGGGATTGAACTCAGGGGCACTCGACCTCTGAACCACATCCCAAGACCTATTTCAAATTTTATTTAGAAATGGGGTCTCACCGAGTTGCTTAGCACCTTGCTTTGCTGAGACTCAGGAGCTACTGGGATTATAAGCGTACAGGCACCACCGCGCCTGGCTATGCCTAAGATCATATAAAAGTTATAATCCATATTTACTTTATTGGAGTACGACTTAACCAATTTATGCTTTACCAATTAAGCAAAGCATCAGTACTGGTTTTTCTTTTAAAATAAAGACAGTAAATTTAAAAGTTATACCAAGCATGTTTTAAAAGATCTTGCTTTTGTTACTACTTATATCACTTGGTAATATAGTCAGGTTTTGTTTTTATTTTAAATATTTTTTTTAGTTGTAGATGGACACAATATCTTTAGTTTTTATGGGGTGCTGAGGATCGAACCCAGTGCCTCACACATATCAGGTAAGCACTCTACCACTGTACAACCCCAAATCATAGTCAAGGTTTTAAAGACCCTATTTATGCAAAACATTGTAATTAACTATAATTTTGGTAATTTTAACTAGTTCTCATTTGTTAGTTCAATCAACAAAGTTTCACTTTAAAATATCAGAATAACTCAGCATCTTTTTAAAATTTAAACTTATTTTAATCAATATATAAATATTAAAAATACAAATATATAAAATTATATGTATGAATATTATCTTTTTATTAGAAAAAACTAAAAGAAGTTTGAGATGTGCCCATCATTAGTAATAATATTTTTCATTTAGTGAGTGTCAACTCTAAGGAATACAGTGTGTTCTATACTTTATATACATTATATCCAGACTTAAGAAAACAATTAAGGGACACAGGGATTATTTAAATTGATCCAGATGAATTTCAGAGCCAGGATTCAAATGTAGGTATGTCTCATTCCAAAATATCAAACCTTCCTACCAAACAATAGACAGCAGTGGAAAATAATGTCTTTAACATTCAACTTTATTTGTTAATGGGAAAGCAATTTGGGGATGTGTAGAGAGAAGACAGGGGAAAAAAAATGTTTGAGAAGGATAAGCTGGTTATTCATGCATAAAATAATAATTTAGACCTTTACAGAAATTATTTTTATTTTATATAATGCTGCCAGCTAGTGGCCCTATTTCAGACCAAGTTCCAGGCAACAACATTCATTTTTTCATATTACTGAATTAAAAATTCTTCATTTCACAATTCAGACTATGTTCTGGAATTATGTATACTTAGGGCTGACTTATTTAAAATTACCCTAAAACTGAAGAAAAAAAGTCTCCTCAACTGCCATTAGCATCCCTTGCCCAGTTCTTGTCTGACCTCCAATAAAAAACATGAGATATGTCTAAGTGGGAAATAAGAGTAAGTATATACATGGGCCTGGGTCTATAGCTCAGTGGCAAAGTGCTTGCCTAGCATGTGTGAGGCACTGGGTTTGATTCTTAGCACCACATAAATATATACAAACAAAATAAAGGCATGCTGTCCATCTAAAACTACAAAAAAAATTTGTTTTTAAAGAGTCAGTATGTAGAAGCTAACATATAATATGCCTGTCACTGTCCATGAAAAACAAATTTGACTTATTTTAAATATTTTAGGATAATTTTAGAACATTTATAGATTCCTTGTGACAAAGTTCCCTATACCATCTAGAGCTTGCCATAATGTGAACATCAGAACAAAATTATTGCCTGGAAATTATTCTATTATTATCCATGCATTTTATAAAGTAGTACTCTTAACAAAGTATGTTATTTAACTTTAGGCAGTAAAGTAGTTATGGTTTTGAAACTTCCTTTGAAAAAAATTTACTATTTTTAAACTTAAAATTATCATATTTCACTATTAATTCACTATCTTAACATAAATAACTAAGCAACAAACATGAAGAAGCTCTCATCATGATATGTTGTTTAAGTCAGTGACATAAAAATATTCTTGGCTAATTTCTTTCATCATGTGAAATTATTTTAGAATTATTTAAGTGATTTTTCTCAGTGAAGAAATCAGAGGCTTCGATGAAAAGTAAATATATTCCATAACACTGAATACTGCATTAAAAAATACTCCAGTATCAAACTATATTAGCATCACAGAAAACATGTTCTGGGTTTAATCTGTAATAAAAAAGCAAAGAAGCAGGCAATGGAACAGAAAGTATCCAAAACACAGCAAAAAGAAAAGAAGTAGACCCTCCATTATATAACTGAGAAGGTCACAAAGGAAACAAGGAACAAAAGAAATAGGATCAGAGTTCCTTCTGACCTGTATTCTTACTTGCACACACCCCTACAAGATGTAAAAACTGCCATATCGTATTTAGCATGCATGTTATATGGGACTTATTTTGCAGCTAAACGATAAGTTTCTATGTACACACAATAGTAAGTATGACAGTAGTGAGAACACCATCAACTTGCTTTTTAAAAAACCAAACATGTTTCTACAGAGGAAGCATATAACTTACAGACATTTCCTGTATTGTCAAAGCTGGTAAGAACATCTTCAACATTCAAGGATCCATTATTATGTCTACAAAGGAATAAAGAACTTTTTTTAATGATTCTGAAACACTAGTGTTTCCAATGTTTAAAAAAGCTGAGACTATGTATGTATGATGCACCCAATACTAATAAACCCTTCCATGTTGTATTTTTTAAATATTTTCTGTCCACTAGAGGGAGAAAGAAAAAAACAAAACAGTCTTCAGAATATTTAATGCTATGACATTTCTTGATGATTAATGAACATTTTAAAGTATTATTAATAATAATTTTAACAAACCTATTTTAGTTACATACAGGTAAGGTCTTGATCTTAAAGACCAAATACACATGCACATGCACACACATTACACTTAGAGAATCTTATGGTCAAAGGAAGATAATCACTCTCTAGAACCACATTCACAATACATAAAAATTTCCCTTTAAACAGTGCAACAAATTCATAACTTAATTCACAAAGAATTAACCAAAACTACAGGTCTGCACATTTCATAAACAAGCAACACTAAATGCCAGTGGGTAAATTTTTTGTAGCATTTGTCTACTAATCTTATCTTAATTAGTTCTAATTTGTCTTCACTTGATAACCCATTAAGTATTTTATTTGATTATTGATTTTAGTAATACTTATGAAAGATGGTACTCTTCAAATAGAAATGGACCTGTTAATAATTCACAGGGTTTGAGTTACTTGTTACATTAGTGATATAAAAAAATTGGTACTAATCCATCTATAATATTTTTGAGGGTCTGTGGGTACTGGGGATTGAACTCAGAGGCACTCAACCACTGAGTCACATCCTCAGCCCTATTTTGTATTTTATTTAGAGACAGGGTTTCACTGACTTGCTTAGGGCCTAGCTAAATTGCTGAGGCTGGTTTTGAACTCACAATCATCCTGCCTCAGCCTCCACAGCCACTAGGGTTACCTAGGGTTACAGACATGCACCACCACACCCAGCCATCTACAATTTTCAACATACTCCTTCATAAAACTTACAGCTGTAGTTCGACTTAAGATGTTTTAATAATTTGTAATAATTTATAATAATTCATAATAAATTAATGATTCATAATAATTCATTAATAATAATTCAACAACACTACTTTGTCATTAAAATGTAGTACAAATTATGTACAGCATTTGAACTAAATTGCCCCCCTCCCAAATTTATAAGTTGAAGTTCTAACCCCCAGATACCTCAGAATGCGAGTCTACTTAGAGGCAGAATCTTGAAGAGGTAATTAAGTCAAAATGGGGTAATTAATAAGGTGGTCTTTAAATTGCTGGTGCCTTTAAAAGAAGGGTTTCAGGCCATGCCCTGTGGTATATACTTATAATTCCAGCTACTCAGAAGGTTGAGGCAGGAGAATTGCAAATATGAGGCCAGCTTGGACAACTTTGTGAGACTATCTCAAAATGAAAAATAAAAGGGTTGGGGATGGGGACTGGGGTTGTGGCTCAGTGGTGGAGTGCTAGCCTCGCACAGGTGAGGCACTGGTTCGATCCTCAGTGCCACATGGAAATAAATAAATAAATAAATAAAGATATTGTGTCCATATACACAATAAGTAGAGTCCTTCTGGGTTCAATACCCAGTATCACCAAAAGAAAAAAAGAAAGGAAGGAGGAGGAGTAGGAAGAAGAGAGGAGGAGAAGAAGGAAAAAAGAAGGGGAGAAGAGGAGGGGAGGAGGAAGAAGAATTTGGGAACCAAAGAGAGACAAAAGGGGATATATATGTATGCATAGAGAGGCAACCACATGAAGATATGGCAAGATGGTGGCAATCTGTAAGCCAAGAGCCCTCTGAAGAAAGGTCTGCCAATACCTTGATCTCACACTTCTAGGCCCCAGAACTTTTAAAAAATTTCTGCTTTCAAGCTACCAACTCTGTGGCCTTTTGTTTTGGCAGACCTAGCAAACCACAACAAACGACAAAAGAATGCTGGTAAACTGTATTATCCTTCTCAGAAAATATAAGCTTTTATTTCTTGACAGAACAAATACATGAAACTGCAAGATGTTTTTGGCAATCACAACTGGCCAAAAAAACACTGGGCTCAGAACTATTATAATCTAAGGAAATAAAGTCACCAACCATGAATCAAACATTTCTCATCATAACACAATGATTCTCTACCTTCTGTGTGCATATAAGATTCTAGGGAGAGATGAGGTTATTTACCGAATATGGAAAACTAGGGCTGGGGTTGTGGCTCAGTGGTAGAGCTCTTGCCTAGCATGTGTGAGGCACTGGGTTCGATCCCCAGCACCACGTAAAAATAAATGAATAAAATAAAGGTTCATCAACTTCTAAAAAAATTTTTTTTGAATATAGAAAATTATGTTAAACACTGAAATAAGAGGAAAAGCAACAAAGTATATAACATTGAAAAAGCAAGATGAAGCTATAAAATGATCAGCAGTATAGCATATAACTCAAAAATTTTTTTCTAAATATAAAAGCAATATAGAAGGTTCCTTCAAGGAAATACTGCTCATAATCCTAACATGCCTCTAGAGACAACAACAGTTAATATTTCAGTACATAACCTTCAAATCTTATTCTGTGCTCATATACCATTCATAAAGCCTGAAAGCACACTGTTTTGTAATTTCTGTTTTTCATTTGTCATATTATAAACAGTTCCCCACATCAAGTAATGTCCTGTAACATCATTTTAATGGCTGCCCAGTGTTCATTGAATGACTTTCTGAACTACAATTTCTTGGGCCAACACTTTTTAACACCACGCTATCATACATATTGCTTCACTGAAAATGCTTATGGAAATTTCATTAAGCTCATTTCTTATTTCCTTAGGATAAATTTCTAAAAGTAAAATTATTTTCAGGCTAGTTTTAACAAGAACATTCCCTCTCTCTCTCCTTCACTCCTTCCCCTCCCTCTCTTCTCTGAGACATACATAGAGATCAAGATAAAAAAAAGTATTTGAAATTAAATTTTGAAACAAAGTAGAAAAAGGTACATATTTTGCATAATGTTAAATATTTCTAAAAATCAAAAGCAGGGATATAGAGTTGAAATGCCTATTTTAAAAAGTTTAAAAACTTAGTATTATCATTGAAGCAAAACTTTAAATTATTAAATGCATTATTTCTTGAACAAAGAAAGAGAAAAAAAGAAAGAAAGAAGTATACCCTGTTTTTTTAAAAAAAAAATAAGATAAGGGGTGGAGGACCGGTTAACCTAATCCTGCAATTCTAAAATCCTTATAAAAAATGAAAAACAAGTACCTACAAAGTTATTAGGGTTTTGAAACCCTAAAAGATAACATCTTATGAAAGAATGTCAACAATCATTGCCTTCAATAGTATAAGAATTAGTGCTAATTATAGGAAAACTTCCATGAATGCAGTTTAGTAAAGATTCAATTTGATTACTTCAAGTTTCCTTTTGTTTGTACCAAACTCAAGGACTGTTCTTTGTCCAATGAGTCATCAAATACTTTATTCAAGTGTCAACGCTATTAGATTCTGTCTACCCTTAATCTTTCAATTATTTACCTAGGTCCTGTCTAGACTTAATGGCTAAATAGTAATGCTGACAGGGAAGGGACTTTTTCAAACTTAATCCTTACAGACTTCTGTCTTAGCAGATACTGGTAATTAATGTTACATGATAATGACAAAATTTTTGCCCAGATATACAGAGCATAAAAAGTTCACTCCATCTTTCTCTCAAATTCCAAAGCTTAAAACATTATTTCCCAAGCCTTTAATTACCAAGAGCCATATAATTCTCCCCAAGAGCCAACATAAGTTTTTTCACAACCTAAAGTTATCCTAAGACTGAGGACCTTTGACTTCCTTCCCAAGAATAACCTATAGAGCAAGGACTAAAGGACAAGTCATTAGAGCAGGTAATTATTTAAAGAGGTTAAAAAAAAAAAGACTACTAAAAAAATTTTTTAAACCTAAATATACCAAGAGGTTCAAACAACAGATTCAGAGTAAGCTAGAGCTAAATAAGATACCCAAATCACAAACAACAAAAGAAAAAAATAGATAAGTCGGACTTGGTCAAAATTTAAAAATGTTTTTGAATCAAAGGACACTACAAAGAAAGTGAAAAGACAACCCACACCCCAGAAGACAACATGTAAATATTTACACATCACATGCCTGATATCCAGAATATATATATGTTTACAATTCTCTCAAAATGGCTAGTAGAAAAGATTTTGAATGTTTCCCAACACAAAGATAATAAATGCCTGAGTTGATAGATACGCCTTATCTGACCATTACACATTGTATACATGTTTTGAAATATTGCACTGTACCTCACAAATATGAACAATAATTATGTATCAATTTTTTAAGCTTAAAAAAATTCTCACAACTGCAAAACAAAAAGGTAAACAACCTAATTTTAAATAGGACAAAAGACTTGAATACAAAGAACACACACAAATGAGCACATGAAAATGTTTAACATCATTAGTTATTCAAGGAATGCCAATCAAAAACCACAGTGAGATATCATCTCACAACCACTTAAATGGCTATTTTTTTTTTAATAAAAGAAAACAAAAAGTGCTGGAAAGCATGGAGAAAAACTGGATCCTTCATACATTCTTAGAAGAAACACAAAAAGCTATAGCCACTGTGGAAAACAATTTAGTTGAAACACAGAGTAACAACTATACCCAGCATATATCACGTATATCCTAAGTATATATACCAAGAGAATGAAAAGCATATGCTTCTAGATGAATGTTCATAGTAGCATTATTCACAATAGTCAAAAAGTAGAAACAACCCAAATGCCCATCAACAAACGAATGGGTACAAAATGTGGCGTTATTTTTACCATTAAAAAAAAGGAAATGATGCATATTGATACATGGTACTTAAGATTCCTTTAAGATTTTAATGAATCTTAAAAATTACAAAGAAAGCAGACATAAAAAGCCACATTTTATATTATTTTATTCATATAAAATGTCCAGAACATACAAATCCATAGAAATAGAAAGCAGATTAGTAGTTGCCAGGTA